GTAATGATTTTTAATGCACGTTCGTAATGATTTAAATACAGTGCGATAAAATAATTTTGATGTCGTTAATATTATTCCATCGACGACAAACAAAGGTATCAACATGGTTAATAAAGTGTTGATCCTTATCCTTATCGGAAATATTATAGGGCTGGTAAGTTTATAAATTTAATAATTTTGTTAAATTAATAAAGGGCTACGGGATGAATTTATTCATAAATCCATAATTTTTACAAATATGATACAGAACTATTTAAGTAAAAATATTTCAATAGATTATATAATATACTTGAAAATTATTTTCAAAAATTAAAAAGATTTTCTATATTCCGGGTTTAAATATGTAAAATATAATGACCTAAATATTGCATGTTTAATGAAATATTCAATTATATTTACGAGAATATTAGAATATTTCATCCGTTGAATAGATATTTGACAAATTGATTTTGCAAATGCAATAATGATACAATTTATTTGTATTGTAGCATCTGTTGTGTACCATCGTTTTAAAGAAATTTTTTTATCAAATTATAACAAAAATAAAAATTTATCATAAAATAATGGTTTGTCGCATTAATTCCACAATTATTATATTATTATAAAGATAACAAGATTTTTGGTAAGAATTTTACATTTGGTACATATTATAAAAAATATTATCTGATATATAAATTTTTTTACAATAATAAAATAATCAACTTGAAATTCTAATAGCGTAAAAGCAATAAATGAATTGTTTTATTTGCAATAATTTAATAGTTTTAGAGAAAAGTACTGAATATTCAAAAGTTTATTGTTATTTTTGGTAATATCATTTGAAACAGCAGTACAATAATTTAGTTGCAATAATTTTTTATAAATCAATAATAATTACATTCATACTTTTTAATTTATATATTTAATTTCTTTAAATGTTTTGTATTTTTGTTTTGCAAAAGTAATATTTTAATGATAGAATCTACCAAATCATTGCAAGAAAATGCATCTAAAATATCTTTTCTTTTATGAAATTAATATTTCGTCGGCTGATATAATAGATAATTAAATATTTATTGTTTTTTTATTTAATTAGTTTGGTAATTCTCATTTTTACAACATTAATTTTTATGTATCAAACACGCTCATATTATTGAAATATTAAAAGCGTATTAAAGAGTTAATTTCATTACATGCACTTTCACTGTTTAACTATTCGTTTGCTCTACTTCCTTCACAAAATGTTTATAACCTATTGTATAATTAACCTTTATAGATTATATTATAAATTATAATTTATAAATATAACTATAATCTATGAATTGACCTTTATAGGTTATGGTAAAAAAAAAAAAAAAAAAAAAAAATTACGTTTATGTTCGTTTTAATTTATAATTAGAAATAATTGTAGCTTATGCTGAAGTTTAAATTTGAAAAATTATAACTATTTATTCTATTTTAATGACTGAAGTAATTAAAACTATCATTGAAATTTTATAAATATCTTTTAAAAAGTTGTTAAATTTTCATTTAAAAACGATAGTATAAGTTTTTTTATAACTTACAATATATTCATTTATCAGTATGTCAAAATTAAAGAAAATTGACCATTAATATTAATATATATATATATATATATATATATATATATATATAAATATATAAAAAATTGAGTACTAATTTATTGTAATTACCAAATATAATTTGATGTACAAACGTTAAGTCATAATCATTTCATGATTATCTATCGCACTTAAATTTGCTAATTTATTTTATTTAACTTTAGTAACATAACTTTATAGTTCTAAAAATTAGACGATATATTTATTAATTATTGTTCGAAATTTAAACAATTGTTAATTTTCAAATAATACTACAAACTAGCGATTGACTTTTATCAATGACTATGCAGATTAATATTTTGCAAAAGAATTTGTAATATTAATAAAATGATAATAAAATATTTAGTACAAAAAATATAAATTTCATATAAATGCTGTAAATATTTTCCATATAATAGTATAAAATTTCTCAGATGAAAATTGAAAGGTTTTGAATAAAATATTATATTCATTACTTTTGGGATAATCCTAAGATTTAATATTATTTTTATGAAATTTTTTTAAATTTTTTTCTTTAATATACATGTTGATTGTCTTATATTATTAAAAATATACTTAAAGTGATTAAGAGTTGATCATTATTTGATATCAGTATTTTATATTTTCGAATTATTATATATTGAGAACAATTGTTTTTTTTGTTACACAAATGTTACAAGAGTTAATGATTTAGGCATGTTAAATATGTACTTTATTTGGTCAGAATTTATAAATATGATAGATTATAATTATATTTTTTAATTGTGCATGAATTTGTTTCAGAGTAAATCGATTGGTTAAAAATTACAATTATAATTATTAAAGAAACAAATATATTTGGGTAGTTAAACACATGCACGCGTGCGCGCAGAATTTCATGAACAAGTTGGATTTGTCTACGTTTGTCCAATTTTCAAATCATAGCTTTAAAATCTAATTTTATAATTATCAAATATATTTATCAGTGAGCTTTATGAGTATCGAGAAATATTTGAATATATTGCTTTTTTCTAAAACTGTAATTATATAGATGGATATATGATGATGATTTCAAGAAATTTAATTTAAGATAGTCAGAATTGAAGTAAAAATATAACGTAATTTAGATACTCAACAGGTATGACATTATTGTAATTTTATTGTTCTCTAATTAAGTAGTGTGTATTCAATAATATTTAAAACATTGTACAATACGTCATATGTAATAAAATTTTTTGTCTATTTATGTAAAACTATTAATTTATAAAACATTTAAATGAATCCATTGAAATGAATACTATTAATATACAATGAATAATAACATGATTTTATATTTATAATTAAAAATATAAAAAATTAAATTTTCCATATACAAAGTCTAATAAATTAATACTTAAGTCAAGGTATTAGTAATAAGAATGTTTTATCTGTTTACAGTCACAATTGCTTTCATTCATTACGATTTTTATTAGAAAATGAAGAAGATTTTTTTAATATCTATGATCTTCTTAGACAAATCGGCTGTTAATTACTTATGAATAACATGTTAATTACTATTATTACTAAAAATTCTTAATCATGATATATCATCCATCAAATTTCATTGATATAATATATATGTTTATATATATATATATATATTATATTATATTATATGTAATATAATATATATATAATATATATATTATATATATATATAATATTATATAATATTATTATATAATATAAATAAATATAAAATATAATATAAAATATAATATATAATATTATATAATATATATATTATATAAAATACATGTAATATATATAATATATATATTATATGTATATATATATATATATATATATATATATATATATATGTATACTTAGTATATATTATTAATAAATATTTGCGAAATATCCTAGATATTATAAATATTAAAAAAGTGTAATTAGTTTTCCCTTTATATTTTTGTCCAATTACATTTGACTAAATTTAAAAAATTTTTTTTTAAATTATAAAAACAAAACATTTAACTAAGAAATATTATTCTTTTTGTGGTTTAGAAAAAATTAAAAAATTTATCTCTACAAACAATATTATACTGTAATATGCATATAATTCATTAAATTTGGAATTCTCTATAAACATGCATATTTTAGAGATTATTTTAGATTATTTATAATGCATACTTCTCAAAAAATAATATTTACTGATATATACTTGAAGATAATGTAGCATAATTGAATATATAAATGAATAAACGGAGCAATTCACGGTTTCATATGTAAATACATCGAGCTGATTTCTGCTTAATCCTAAAATATTATTAAATAAATAAAAACTAAAGGAGATATTGTAGTATATAGTATTCATTTTGCAAATATATCATTAAGATAATAATAATAGAAATAGTAATGTCTCATAACGCTATTTATTATTTATTTGTCAGAGTTACTCAAATCACGATAACAGTAATGTAGGGGTAATAATAATAAAAAACAAATAACTTTAATTAATTATTAATAAAAAATGTATTAACTATGTTTTAATCAAAATCAAAAGTCTTAGAAAACTCTTTTATTAAAAAATTCATAAAATCCTTATGATAAAATAAATTGTATTTTTTCTGTATCTAAGTAACTTAATAATAACTAAATGTCATTATTTTAAACTATTTGATTATATTAAAATTATCTTTCATTATTTATAATATCAATTAAATTAATTTATAATTAATGAATACATTATATTCTTTTGAAAATAATTTTCGACAATTTAAATTATTTAAAAATTGAATTATTTTTATAATATACGGAATATTATGTAAATAACTATTGAACTAATTGAAAATTTAAATTCATTAATCTAATGTTTTAAAATACAAAAAATATATATAGAAAGCTTATGATTATTGTTAATTTTTATGTCTAATTTACTGCATAGAGTATATGTATATAACGAAATCTGATTTTACAAATTAAAAAACGAAATTTTCTTTGACAAAAAACGTCGATGAAAATCATTAATTAATGCAAGAGAAAGCTTACCTATAAATTTATGAAATGATTTTAATTGTTTGTACATAAAAAATGATATTTAATTAATATTTTTTAATCCGTTAATGATTGTGTAAATATTTTTTAAGAATGCAGAGTTTTTATAATGTTATAATAAATCTACTATGAAATGGTGTATTAATGATAATTAAGTGAAATTAAGCGATGACAATATATTTTCAAATTTCGATTAAGTTTATAATAATTTTCATGATTTTAACATATTATATGAATAATTTTTATGAAGAGATAGTATTAACAGAGTTAATTCAATATTGAAATGCAAATGAAAATATTAATTTTTCTTATATTAGTTTTAATATAGAAGTTTTATAATAGTTTTATTACTTGATAATTAAGAATTAATATAAAATTAACAATATTCATTTCAGAAAGACGTATCCAATGGCGTTCAAGGTTTTGTTTTTAATTCGGTAATAATTATGAATTATAATATAATGATTTTTTAATAAAAACTTCAAGACTATTATTTAATAAATATTTTAAATTGATATAATTTTGTGAGATCTATTAAAGTCTTTATATTTGCTTAATAATGTAGAATATATAATTGATCTTTTATTCTTATAAACATTTGCAATTATAAATTTAACATTTTAAATTTTTATTTCAGGTCAAAAGTGGTGCTGAAAATTCGCAAGTAAAAATTATAAATTATATTTATATTGATTATTTTAGTAAAAATTATTTTATTTAATTAAACTTTAAGTGATAAATTAATACATTCGGATTTTACTTTATTTTTTAGAATTATTTAGATAGTGATCCTGACAATAACTCAGAGGTAATAATATTTTATTATCGTTAAGTTTAATTAATTATCCTGGATATACCTCCAATCGAATATATTTTTACCATAATTGACTATAGTAACTACATTAAGATTAAATAATTGTTGAATATTATCTTGAGGGATAGTATAAACATTAATGATATTAATAATAGAAACTACATAATTTATATTTCTTATACTTTTTTTTTGAAAAGAGAAAGAATTTTATTTTCATATTTAAAAGAAATGAAAATTAGAGCATTTGTCTTAAATATCTTTAATGTTTTTTTGTTTATTATTTTTTTTATAGGAAGCCTTGAGCCCAAGCAATGAAGAACCCGAAGTAGTGGTAATAATTTTTTATTTTATATAATAATAATTTTTTAATGTAATAATAAGGAATTTTAATAGAGATTTTTATTATAATCGTTGTAATGGTTGGTTTGTTTGCAATGTAAATAGTATAAAATACTATGAAAACGAGAATAGAGATGTAATATTGCATAATTAAGTATTTTGAAGTAGTTACAAATTATTCATAATTCCAAATTCTTAAATTAGAATGCGAGAATTCGAAAGATAATATTGAATTGTCTATATAATACAAAACTATGAAGATTAAAGTATTTTATAATCAAAATATCTTTAATATTTTAATTGTTTATTATTTCTAATAATTTTTATCATGTTATTATATAATGATAAATAAATTTAATGGAGATCTTTGATATAATTAATTTAATGGTTGTACTTCGGTATGAATATTATAAAATACTATGAAAATTAAAATGTATAAATTTGTAATATTATATAATTAATTATTATAAAATAGATGTACATTATTCATAATTAGAAATGTTAAAACCATCAAACGAAAATTATAAAGATAATTTTGAACTGTCTATAGAATGAAAAAAGATTATGATTAAAGTTTTTATATTTCTAAAATCTAAATATTTTATACGTTTTCTTTTAATTATTTATTACAGGAAGTTGAACCTCCAAATAATGAAGGGCCGTCTTCATTGGTAATAATTTGAGATAATTATCAATATTTAATAATAATTCGATTAATCGGATCACTGGTCTATAGAATTATTTTTGTAAAATAGTAAAAATTAATAATTATAAATAAATTAATTGCAACATAAAAGATATTATAATTATGTCAGAAAAAAAAAGATACTTTACGTTTAAAAACTATTTGTAGTAGACATAATTTATTAGAATTCATTTTTTAATTTTTCTATACAAGTAATAACACTTAACAGTAATTAACAAATCCAGTTAAAAGCAATTCTTCTCTTTGGATCATAGAAGCTAATGATTGAATCGATTTTACAAATATTATTATTGTAAAAAATATTATGCCATTGTGGATCTTAATAATAATGTAATGGGAATGAACTTTACCTTCAATCTTAATATTTAACCCTATCTTATCTTATCAATCTATATTAATAATAATTTAAATTGAAACTAAAAAATTTTAAAAGCACGTTTAAATTAAAATTATTTAAATAAACATAATTACAATTGTGTATGATATCAATTAAATAGCTAATGAATAGATTATGATTAAATTATTCAGTTTTATTGTTAAAATAATATTCAATGTTTCTTGTGATTGTTTCAGATACAGGTATTCAATAAAAAAAAGATTACATCTGGGTAACAGTATCTGATTTATATTAAAAATTTCATTACAAAGTTTATTCAAATGTATATATATATATATATATATATATATATGCATTGATTCTTCGATTCTTAATATTTAGTTTTCATCATACATATGTTCGCAACATTTTCATATGATTTCAAATTTTAATATAAGCTTATAGTTTATTTGAAATTTAATAGAGTGATAAAGAAAGATGTTCAAAATAATGGGTAGAGGAATAATTTAATAAAATAATTAAACCTTGTAAATAATATTATTATTGTTTCAGGAAGAATTAATCCCTGCCCAAACAGATAATTCTGGATCGGTAACGATATTAAATAATAATTAAAGCTTAGCATATATTAATTATATTTTCTAATACATTATATAAATGATATTTTAGACTATTTATTGAAATTAAAATATACATATAAAAATATGCAAATGGCTTAAAAAAGGACATTTTGATTCTAAGCAATTGATTTAATGATTTTTATGGCGTGTGAATCATAATTAATGAAAATATTTATCAGAATATTATTGAACATAATTATATTAATATTATGAAAATAATTTTGGAGTGTATTATAAAGCATAATTAAATAATATCAGTAATTATAGTAATTAGTAAAAACATGAAAACAAAATTAATATAAGAAATTATTATACACATAAATAACGTGAAGAATAATTTAATATATTCATTTGTTTATTTGTTTATATAGATATATATTTATAATATTATTTATAATTATTTTTATTATCTTTAATTTACTTCTTAAGATTCACTTATATTTAATTTATATTAAATATTATCATATATGTCTAATTGACAATAAAATATATTTATTTTATCTACTTCAGTAAAACTTAATCGACGTATAAATGCAATAATTATTTTATTAATAATAACAATGATAATAAAAATGGTAATAATAATATTATCATTAATAACAAATTATTTATTTGAAATGGAATACAAAACAAAAATTATTTTAAAAATATTAAAAACATTATAATATTATAATATAAATAGGAAATTATTTTTATAAATATAAACTTGTCTTAATATACTTGTTTTTCAAAGTATATAAATCTATTTGTTTTCTATATTAAGCTTTAATTTAATGATAGAATTTTTAATTTTAAAATTGTGCAAATGTTTATAATATTAATTATAGAGTCACAAAATAATTAAAAGTTATGTAAATTATATAATAGAAAGATGATTGAGGAGTAAAGCGATTAATTTTTTCATTTTTTTTTTTTTAATAACCAATGATATTTATTTATTTTAGGATGAAACAAATGTACAAGATGAAGAGGAGGTAATATTATCAATTATTACATTGAGATTTGATTGAAATAATATTTTACTAAATTTTACTAAAAGTAATTTGATACCATTTAGTTAATACCTTAGAAAAAAATTCAAGCAAATGTAATGAAAATATTAAGGCTTGATATATTAATATTATATTGATCTAATTTTTAAAATTTACTTAATTGTGATAATTGCAAATATAGTTTTATTTTAATTAATTACTTTTCAAAATATTCATTTAAACTAGAATTTTATAACAAATATTACTCTTATAATAATCATTTAATAGATATATAGTTTATATATTGATATTTTTTATTGTTTCAGAAAGAGCCTAAAATAATCAGAAAATTGGTAATATAGGTTATTTAGTATAATAGTTTTACCTTATGGTTGCTAAAATAAAAAAAATTTATTATTTATTACCGAGTCTCAAAATTATCTTTCTTTATTAGAGATTATATTAATATTTTAACAATACTTCTAACAGTAAATTTTTAATATTTCTCTTTTTAGAACGAATTTTATAAAAAGTTCTGAAATTCCGTAGTATTTTTTATAGTAATTCTTTTCACAATGAATTAAGCGCTAATATTTAAATTTATTCTATTCAAAATTTCATATGGATACATTTCAACACGTATGCCTTAACATAAGATGATTTAAGATTGCTTAAATTAATATACTTCTTTCGAAGTAAAGTTTTTTAAATTCTTTTGAATAAGACTTTAGAATGATAATGAAAATGAATAGTAAATTATAATTACTGATTTATATAATTAATTTTTTAGATAAAATCATCCAAGGACAAGTATACGGTGAAGGTAATTTTAAACATTTTTCTAATTTCTTTTTTTTTTTCATAAAATGATTTGTTCTACCATTTAATTTATTATATTTTATGACTTCTGCTTAATATATTAAAATAAAAGAAAAAGCTCTTTTGTGAACTATTTTTTATCAAAAACATTTTACTATTTTCGAACTACATACGTATGTAGTTTTTGGGCCAAATAGATACACTAACTAATATATATTATTTATGTGCATTATAGAAAGAAAAGGACGGCCTGACACAGCATTTAGAGGTAATTATTTTTTTTCTTTTACATTTTTAGTAGTTGTATTTGCATAATTTTTTATTATATCTCACGTCATAATAATTTTTAATTAAAATTCTATTCTAATTCATATTGTAGTAAATATACATAATATAATATTAGTTTTCTAGAATTATAAAATTTTATGTATATCTATCGCAAAAGAAAAATAAATTAAAAAATTAATTTAATAAATTATATTAATAAATTGAAATTTATTCAATATTATATAAGAAAACAATATTTTATTATAATAATAGATAATAAATCGGATATACTACTATTGCAATGTTAAACGTAAATTTTTTTTTATTTGTTTCGTATTTGCTTATGTAGTTATGAGTATAAGGGATTAAATATAATTCTTTATACTTTCACAATTATATTTTATAATGCATTCGTTTATGCAATTTTGATTATACTTTTATGTACACAATTAATATAAAAATTATATAATAGTTGTATTTTTTATTATTTTTTTTCTTTCAGAAATCAAACTCGAAACGAAAGGTTCAAAAATTGGTAAAGTATTGAATTTTGAAAAACCAATTTTTTAAAATTAATTATTTTTTTCTAATGGATTTATATCTTATATAGTATAAAGGTTTAAAATATATTAACATTCACGGTATAAAAAAACTTATCTCAAAATCGGTTATTAGAGTTTTTTGTAATGTTCAAAGTATTTTCATGTAATATTGATTATATAAGTAATATGTAAAATATTTATGTAAAATACTTTTACAAAAAATCATAATTTGCAAAATAGACAATTTTATCTTTGGTTTTTAAAAATCTATAATAAATGTAATAAGCTAATAGAGGAAAACGATAATATAATAAATTCTATAATTCTGTTTCAAAAATATTAGTAGATTATCTGTATTCTATCTTTGCATTTATTAATATTTCAGGCAAATAAAAAATCTGGCAAAGCATCCTTTAGTGAGGTAATAACTTATTATTTTATTGGAATTTTTTTTGTTATACTACAACCATATGAAGTTATATATATTAAATCATTGATTAGGAATCAAATTTGCTAAGTAAAATATTAAATTTGTAAAATAATTAAGAAAATTAATTAGTCTAAATTGTGATTTTTTTAAATATATAATCCTTCTTTAACGGATACTATATATATATATATATATATATATAGCGTAGTATTAAAAATATATAACTGTCCATTTGTTTAAATTGTTGTATAATTTGAATGTCTATTCGCGTGAATTTTTTTTTAAGCTGAATGTAGCTAATCGTCCAGCTTTGCTTGTGTTACTTACTGAGCTTATAGTATTTGTCTGGTATAGAAAAGTAAAATTGAACTCAAAATGGTCTACTACTGTGGTATAAATGTAATTTATTGTAAACTTTTTTCTAGTCCATATAATAATTTGATATCGATGTGTTCAAATATGTTCTTTGTATTTGGATCCACGGACTTGTCATTTCCAAGGAGTAATAACGAGTCTTCAACTATTAAATATTTTCCATCCGTTATACGATTCGGTAATTGTAAGTTATAAGAAAGTAAAATAGTTTTCAAAATTTCTACGGCATATCGAAATGAGGGAAGAGCTTCATCGTAAAAAGTGTGTAAAAAATTATTTTTCGCAAGTCGCTTTGCTGAAAGTAAAATCTATCTTATTTACTTCATTGAAGTAATATGAAAATTGATTGATCCACTAGCAATGAAGACCCCTTAATTGCTATTTTGTAATGAAGATGTAAGAATCACTTTGGAGGTAAAATATAATATTCCATTGAGTTAATGTTCAAAGATTGTACTCGTCCTTAAGATAATTTGAGATTTCTTGAAATTATATTTGAATGTGGTGGTAAGCCAACTAGATGGTAACATTTGACAGATAACAGGATACTATTTTAATGAAAAATAGAATTTTTAGTCCATTTTTGGTTTTTAGCATACTTGATTTTTAAACCAACAAAAATGATTTGTTCTGGTATAGGAATTACGGAATTGAATACAAATGGTCGATTCATTTTTGTACGGATAGTTCTGCATTCGAATTTAATTCAGTTCATTGAGTTAATGGATGCGCGAAATTACATTATAAAATGTTCAGAATCGAACTTATTTTTTTTAATGTTATATAGTACAAGTTTTGAAGTATTTTCTATGAGTTGTAAAGCACGATAATAATTTATCGATTGCTTGTAGGTAAATTCCTAAGGTACGGGATGCCAGCTATTAAGCAAGTTTGACAACCGATGTTTTCGCACATGTTGTTTAACATTATTATTTAACATCATAAAAAGTCAATAATGAATTGACTATTATTTTTTTAATATATTACTTTAATACCACAAATACTATAATCTTTATACTTAATTTGTTTAATTTGTTATAAAGTATATCATAATATATTAATAAATATTTATATATATATATATATATATATATATATATATGTGTGTGTGTGTGTGTATTTAAAATAAGAGTATAGTTAAATTAAATATTATATGCATGTTATATAAATAAATGTATCAATTTTAATTTCTAATTATATTTAAAAACGTATAATTTCTGTTACAGAAAAATGTAAATAGTATCAAAACTAAATTGAAGGTAATAATAATTATTTTTTTAACAAATATATTTTAAATAATGTTATAACCGAAAGCTTTTATTTTACAATATTTTTAATTTATTTAATCTTACTTTATATAATTTAATATGAAATGTACAAAAAAAAATCTTTCTTAATCGATTTTAATCTAGTAATTATAATTTATAAAAATAATAATAATAATTTGTAATCATTTAATTATTAAAAAAATTATTAGTATATTTTAATATTTTTTGCAATAACTTTATAATCAATACTATTCGTTTACTATTCGTTATTGTTACAGGATGAAGAAGGACCAAGGTTATTTAACGTAAAGGTATGAATATTTATTGCAGTAATTATACATTTATATTGTAATTCTTGAAGAAATATATTATTAATAATATTGATTTATTCTTAATGTTAATCATTAACAAATAGTGAATGTAAATATTTTATTTATTAATCCTAATATATGTTATTATTCCTGCAGAAGAAAGTATCCATTACAGAAAGGAAGGTAAAGTATTTTATTATGTCAGTTTTATTACATTATTTTTTTGAATATGAATTAATATTACAGTAATTTAATAACATCTTCTAGATTAATTTAAAAGATTTATTAATTATGAATGAAAATATTAAAATACTAAGAAATATTGTGAATTAAATTTTTTATTGATATAATTGAACTTTAAACAAATGATATATTTTGACAAATGATGAAACACCTATTAAAAATTTAATATAATTATATTTTCCATAACTTTGTCAATATCCATAATTATATTATTTTAATTCTTTTTTTTTTTTTTTTTAATAAAAATTTGTTGCTCTATTGATATTTTTGTATAAAGTAAATTAAATTATAATAATAAATAGCATATTTAATATAATATTTGATTAACCTATTTCAGAAACATTCAATTGATAATGACAACGTTGATTCAGAGGTGATAATAATTATATATAAATATATATAATATAAATTAGTAGTGCTCAAGTCATTGTTAATTATTAGCTATTTTATTCGAATGGTTTTACTTAGCTATAAAGAAAGCTTTAATTTAACTTTCTATATATTGAAATTTATAACATTAATTATAGAAATTGAACAAATACTAATTTTATTTAGTTATTTTAATTAGTTAAAGTTAATTGATTATTAAATTAAGACATTTATACATGTTGTACTATATTTTTTAAAATTTATCATTTATT